CGCCTTTTTTGGTTGTTGATTGCACTCTTGATGTAGGAACTGCAAATGACTCCCCCTTATGAGTCTCTAGGGGAGTTTGCTCTTTGGGCGGCGTTGGAGTGATCTGCACTTCAACAGTTTCTGGCGAAGGTGACGGTGTGACATACTGAGAGCGTCTTAGATTGATGGCGACACTGGCAGAATTGGCGTGCCTGAGAGAGACGATTTATGAGAATGAGGTGGAAACTCGACAATAGTGTATCGAGGTCGCTTTTGAGCGAGCAACTTCATTCTCTTGGTGCGTTTCTTAGACTTGTCGTCATTACGAGCCATTTTGTAGAATCGATGATGAAAGAATTAGGTTTGAGGGAGAGTGCCGAAGAGAGAATTGGAAATCTTGGTTTCATGAAGAAGGGAATTAGGGTAAGAAAACAAAGATATGAGAATATATCAGCGTGTTGCAGGTATTAAATATGTTCTGATAAGCAATATGATAAAAAACAATTTCTAAAAGCCAAGGAGGAGAGAGAGAGAGAGAGAGAGAGAGAGAGAGAGAGAGAGAGAGAGAGAGAGAGAGAGAGAGAGAGAGAGAGAGGAGTTAGAACGGTTAATAAAGAAACTAATCCCACCAAAAATCAAAATTCAAACACCATTCCTTTACACAAGAAAAACTTCCCTCAATATTTCAAAAATTTGAATAAAAAATTCAGATTTTATTCACAAGTAATATCCCGCACAAATATATAAGACCCAATTAGTTTACTCTTGGAAGAAAATATATGCAATATGCCTAATAATAAAATAAAATAAAATCGTATGCAAATATCACTAATATCAATAATTTCCATTCTTAATCTACTTGGGAAAGATTCTTGACGAAAAATTTACCAAAACCATTCTTTGTGCTACATACTAACGAGGAACAAATTAAGAACAAATCGTTTATGCAGTGCAAGTCATATTTCTCCAAAATTCAAGCACCATAAAAATATAAGCTTTATTATTCATTGATCTTTTCACTTAGTAACAATCACAGCAATAGTGAAAGTCAACCCCATTACTTTGCAACAATGACTTTAAGAAACAATAAATTACTGGTGCAAGAACATTGTTGTTGTTGTTGTTGTTGTTGTTGTTGTTGTTGTTGTTGTTGTTGTTGTTGTTGTTGTTGTTCTTTTTTTCTTTTTTGTTCTTTTTCGTACGCACTACGTTTATTCTGTAAATGGCCATCTGATAACTTCGTGTAAGAACACCACACAGTGAAGTGCAGTGGTTGTCAATAGCTTTAACCCTTCACAACATTTTCTATTCATGAAGTTCTTTTCACAGTCGATCCCGTAGGAAATGAACCATGTGCTAGCTTTCTCAATGAATCATAGTGTGACGGTAGCTCCTTTCGACAGAACAAATATGTTTCACGGTATGTAAGAACACGCAAACAGGTTCAGTCAATCAACATCTTACTTACTTCAGCAGAGTTAGAACATCAATTATGACTTAGAGGTGAGCTAGATGCAACATGCAATAAATGTCTAATGCAAAAAATACTCTATATGGTTACACGCAATGCAAATATAATATATATTGTAATATACAATAATATATAATATAATGTAAATTTACACAAGCATTCAAAGTGTGCACATTCATAAGACTTTCTTTAGAGAGATAAACCATTGGAAATCCAATGCTTGAGTGAAAGTATCAGCTAGTTGGTTTTGTGTTGGAACATACTCAAGAACAACCACATCATTCTCAACCAAATTTCTAATGAAGTGGTACCGTATATCAGTGTGTTTAGTTCGAGAGTGTTGAACAGGATTCTTGGAGATATTTATGGCGCTAGTGTTGTCACAAAAAAGGTTTATGGTTCTTACCTCAAGGCCAAATTCCAACATCATCTGTTTCATCCGCACAAGCTGAGAATAGCAACTCTCACGAAAATATATTCTGTCTCGCCGGTCAAAAGAGCCACGCAGTTCTGTTTCTTTCTCAGCCAAGAGATCAGGTTGTTGCTCATGTAAAAACATCCTCCTTAAGTACTACGTCGATCATCACCATTTCTGCCCAATTAGCATAAACCTGCAAGACTAGCACTAGTGTCGTACGATTAGAGAATTCCTAAGTCAGAAGTACCATGGACATACTTAATAATATGCTTCACGGCTTTCAGATGCACTTCCTTAGGATTAGCTTGATAGCACGCACACATTCCAATACTGAAACAGAGATCAGTCCTACTAGCAGTTAGATACAACAAACTTTCTATCATGCTTTTATAAAGAGTAGAATCCACTGGTGTTCCTGCATCATCCTTAGAGAGCTTTATGTGGCTCCCCATAGGTGTTGTAGGGAATTTAGCGTGTTGTTACCTAAGCCATTTCACCAAGTTCTTAGCATATTTAGTTTGATGAAGAAATATCCCATCCTTGGATTGCTCCACTTGCAACCTCAAGAAGTAGGACATCTCTCCAGCCATACTCATTTCAAAATCCTTAGACATATGGTCTACGAATTCATTGACCCAAGCTTTCGAGGTAGAGCCAAAGATAATATCATCTACGTAAATTTGTACAATGATAATATCTTTCTTACTTTTACGAAAAAAACAGAGGTAAACTCCTACTCGAGAATGGCCCTTCTTAATTAAGAAGTGAGTCAAGCATTCGTACCAGGCTCTAGCAGCTTGTTTGAGAACGTACAAAGCTTTCTTTAGCCTATGCACATGATCAGGATAATGAGGATCCACAAATCCTTCAGGTTTCTTAACATAAGTAACCTCCTTAAAAATACTAATAAAAAATGCAGATTTCACATCCATTTTGCTAGATACTAAAGCCCATCAAGCACACAATGGATACGAACATCCTAACAGGGGCAAACATTTCATCAAAATCTACACCTTCTTGTTGAGTAAATCCTTGTGCCACAAGACGAGCTTTGTTGATAGTGATTTCCCCCGATTCATCCGTCTCATTTTTAAAAATTTATTTTTTTCCAATGACATTAAAATCGGTGGGGTCTAGGAACATGCTCACAAACATCATTTCTAACAAATTGTTCAAGTACTTCATGCATAGCTTCTATCGAGAAATCATCACACAAAGCTTCTTTAGCATTTTTGGGTTCCAACTTCGATACGTAACATGTAAAGTGACAAAGACCAACCATCTTACGAAAGTTTGGTTTTACAACCCTAGTGTTACACTCAGAAATCCCTCCTATAATTAAATCTTTGGGACAATCTTTCTGAATTTTAGCGGGAAGATCTCGCCTATATTCAGTCAGATTTCCTGAGGATGTTGGAGCACGATAATCGATATTTTCGGACACTTGAAGATTCCCGCTTATATTTAGTCAGATACCTCGACGTGCATTCCTACATGTAGAGTTTCTACCAAGCTATTCAAGGGCCAAGCTCTACTTGTCGACAATTCTTCTTACATGTGTCGTCATCATCGACCTGATGCCTCTTCGACCTCTGGTACCTTCAATCTTCGATCGACCTAACGGTTCACCCGATTTAGCTAGACGACTTCTCGGGTCAGGTCGACCCGATATAGTATCTCATATCAACATGAAATATGATATGTCCATGGTATATTTTATAATTTTAATATAATATATCTACACTTAATTTATAATACTTAATTTATTTTTGCACATATGCACAATCACTACAAAATAAATGTTATATTCTAACAGAAAATCCTATGGTAATATATTCCAATAGAAATTCCAACGGATATTCCAATGGTATAGCTTCCGTTGGAATGGTTCCAACGGAAATATTCTGTTGGAATGTGTTTTTCATTGGAATTTTAGATGGAATTTGATGATTCCGACGGCTATATTTCCAATGGCTTTTTACCGTAGGAATTTCCGTTGGAATATGCAAATTCCGTTGGAAAATCCACCTTTGGAATCGTCAAAATCCAACAGAAATTCATATGGAAAACTCATTCCAACGGAATATTTTTGTTGGAATTTCTGTTGGAATCCATTGAAAAATTCCAACGGAAATAATAGTATTGAAATATCCGTTGGAATTGCCGTTGGAATAATTCTTTTGAAATAGATTTCCGTTGGAATTCCATCATTTTCTTGTAGTGAATGTATATAACTAGCATAAATTAACTCACGAATTGAAATAATACAATTCAAAAATATATTTATGTAATATTGGAAGAAAAATAGCAAGATATCGCTGACCTGTCAAAATATATTTATAGATTACTCCTTCCCTCGATATTATCGTATATGTTGAAACAAATACCATTTTAATTAAGACAATCTTCGATTATTTACTCTAGAGTAGAGAGAACCTAATTCAACTTTGGTCTCCATCCGTTCGTGCTACCTTGTACCTACATGAATTTTTTAGTGCAAAATAAAATTTAGATACAAATATAAAATCAAAATTTTATATTATTTAACAAAAATAAAAATCAACTAAAAAACTAAAATTTAAAGAAAAACAATTGTGGCGCAGTGAATAGTAACGCGTTAAATGTATTGCGATATTGTTCATATGCTCAGAGTAGTGCGAAAATGTAGTTCATCGTTTGATCAAGTTTTTCGCAGTACTCTGTATAAGAACATAAATATGACGCATGGCTAGAGAAGCTCTAAAGTTATATTGCTAGAACACTACGGCTGTAGCCTTTGTCGAGTAAAGCTGGAGCTTGAGTTGCAAGCTGGCATTTGTTGAAAAATTATCCAATATTTATACGATCTTTAAATGAAAGGAGGTTGAATTGAAATTGTGAGGGCCCCTTGGAATGTCATGTGAACCTTTGGGATATACGATTAGGCCAACACTTGCATATTCCTGTTGAG